GGCCTGCTTCTTCACTTCTTCTTCTAATTTTTTTATCTTTGCCAAAATACATTGGGGCACTCTTCATTTCTTGAAGCTCGGAGACAGCGGCATTTAGCTATGTCCGGCTTGTCTCGAGCTCTTGGCACAATGCACTATTCTTCTCCTTGAGAACCTGCGATCATCAAACGATCTTCAAATCGGCTTTTTCCACCCACTTTAAGTCTCGGGGGCTACTGTTGTCTATCTACTAAGTTTATATAAAATTATACCTGCATATCCTTTGAGAACAGGCGATTAACTCCTGTGAGTCCGTCCCGAGCAGCTCGGATATATGCACCTACAATGCTTAGGGCGGTAAATTCCGGCTCCGTTAAGGCAGGGGCGCACAAGGCTTCTTTCAAGTGACGATGATTCATTGCACTCTCAACTTCGGAGTTAGTGATGGACATCTCATCCGGCTCTCTATAAGCCGAATGAGTATGTGCCGCACAAGCATGTGCCCCAGTCCTGGTTGGTGCGCCATATTGGCCGTGGCTCGCGGCTGGCTGGGATCTTGTTCACGGTTCGCCGTATACCCCTCCTGTGATGATAGAAGGAGGATGCAAATGACAATTCGGCTTCACGCCCGAATATGAAATAAGAGGAATATACCTTTTCGGTGATGGAGCAGGCTCAATGGGGCTTCCGGCTTCCTTTCGTTTTGCATGACCCTTCCTCGGAGGTGCTGACCTTCTCTTGGTCGCCCGTCCCTAGGTACGGCTCGCTGAGCGCTGATCCTGTGAAACATGGTCCAATGCAGAGGGTAAGAAATGAGCAGAAGTATCTCTCTTCCCTAAGAATACAATTTCCGAATACTTACCTTCACGAAAGGATAGAGGTCGGGATAATCAACCACAACAGCTACTTCCGAGCCGTCAAGGCTCGCCTGATAGTAGACTTCGTCTTCAAACTCTACAAATATGTCCGGATCCTCATGGAATCTGGGGTCTTCATTGCAATCGTGATCCTCTGGCTGGGGGGCAGGGCTGTCAATGTTCTCGATCATTTGCCTCCATGACTATTTTAAAAGCAACTAGGGTATTCAGCTAATGCATCTCAATGAGTAAAAAAGTATTGAATGGTTAAAAAACTTACCCATTCAATGGGATTGTACATGGAGAAGCCCTCTCGACAATTTAAACAGATGAAGTCTTCTTGTTCTCCTTTATAAAGGTCGTTTGCATGGCAGCTAATTCGGCTTGGTTATCCGGACCTCTCGCCTATAGCGGGATGTGTCGTCCTCCCCGTTATAGTTTGATAACCCACAAGTGTAGGGGATCAATTGTAGCCTCTTTCGATAAGTAAGAGTGTCGAACCCAACGAGGAGCTAAAGGTAGAACAAATATTTCCTCAAGTTTTATCAACCACCGATACAACTCTAAGCACGCTTGACGTTCACTTTACCTAAAACAAGTATGAAACTAGAAGTACTTTGTAGGTGTTGTTGGATAGAATTGCAAGATAATAAAGAGCACGTAAATATAAACTAGGGGCTGTTTAGATAAATAAGCAATAAAGTAAATATAGCGAGTATGGAAAAGTGGTGGTAGGAGTTGTGAAATTGCCCCTAAGCAATTGACTACTTTACTAGACCGATAGCAAGTTTTATGTGGGAGAGGCATAAGCTAACATACTTTCTCTTCTTGGATCATATGCACGTATGAATGGGACTCTAGCAAGCATCCGCAACTACTAAAGATCATTAAGGTAAAGCCCAATCATAGCATTAAAGCATCAAGTCCCCTTTATCCCATACGCCACAACCCCCTTACTCGGGTTTATGCTTCTGTCACTCAAGCAACCCACTATAAGTGAATCATGAATATATTGCAACACCCTACAGCGGGAATCCCTCACGCTTGCGCAACACGGAGGGCACAATAGGACAGCAACATAACCACAAGCAAATTAAACCAATCATAACAATTCATCAATCACCAGTAGGACAACGAAAATCTACTCAGACATCATAGGATGGCAACACATCATTGGATAATAATATGAAGCATAAAACACCATGTTCAAGTAGAGGGTACATAGGGTTGCGGGAGAGTAGACCGTTGAATATAGATGTGGGAAGGTGATGGAGATGTTGGTGAAGATGGCGGAGGTGTTGGTGTAGATCGCGGTGATGATGATGGCCCCCCGGCGGCGTTCCGGCGCCACCGGAAGCAAGAGGGAGAGAGCCCCCTTCTTCTTCTTCTTCCTTGACCTCTCCCTAGATGGGAGAAGGGTTTCCCCTCTGGTCCATGGTCTCCATGGCGTGGGAGGGGCGAGAGCCCCTCCGAGATTGGATATGTCTCTCTGTCTCTCTCTGTTTCTGCATTCCTGATTCTGCCCTTTCACCATTTTTTATATCCCCGGAGATCCGTAACTCCAATTTGGTTGTCCTTTGGACACGATTTCTATCCGGAATTAGCTTTCTTGCGGCGAAAGAAGGGCATCAACCGCCTTATGGGGTGGCCACGAGGGTCAGGGGCGCGCCCCCTGCCTCGTGGGCCACTCGAGCATCGTCTCGCGTTGATTCTTCTTCCCCAAAATCATAAATATTCCAAAAAAATCTTTGTCCATTTTTTTCTCTTTGGACTCCGTTTGATATGGGTTTTCTACGAAACAAAAAACATGCAACAAACAGAAACTGGCACTGGGCACTGGATCAATATGTTAGTCCCAAAAATAGTATAAAAAGTTGCCAAAAGTACATGAAAGTTGAATAATATTGGCATGGAACAATCAAAAATTGTAGATACGACGGAGACATATCAGCATCCCCAAGCTTAATTCACGCTCGTCCTTGAGTAGGTAAATGATAAAAATGATAATTTTTGATGTGGAATGCTACCTAGCATAATCTTGATCATGTATCTAATCATGGCATGAAGATTAAGACACAAGTGATTCAAAGCAATAGTCTATCATTTGACATAAAAACAATAATACTTCAAGCATGCCAACCAAGCAATTATGTCTTATCAAATAACATAGCCAAAGAAAGCTTATCCCTACAAAAGCATATAGTTTGGTCATGCTTCATTTTCGTCACACAAAATGCTCCCATCATGCACAACCCTGATGACAAGCTGAGAAATTGGTTCATACTTTTTAACGCGCTTCAGCCTTTTCAACCCTCACGCAATACATGAGCGCAAGCCATGGATATAGCACTATAGGTGGAATAGAGTATAATGGTGGAGGTTGTGTGGAGAAGACAAAAAGGGAGAAAGTCTCACATCGACGCGGCTAACCAATGGGCTATGGAGATGCCCATCAATTGATGTCAATGCAAGGAGTAGGGATTGCCATGCAACGAATGCACTAGAGCTATAAGTGTATGAAAGCTCAAACTGAAAACTAAGTGGGTGTGCATCCAACTTGCTTGCTCATGAAGACCTAAGGAATTTTGAGGAAGCCCATCATTGAAATATACAAGCCAAGTTCTATAATGAAAATTCCCACTAGTATATGAAAGTGACAATATAGGAGACTCTCTATATGAAGAACATGGTGCTACTCTGAAGCACAAGTGTGGTAAAAGGATAGTAACATTGCCCCTTTTCTTTTCTTTTTCTTTTTTTCTTTTTTTGGGCGGGCTTCTTTGGCCCCCTTTTTTTATTTAGTCTTCTTTGGCCTCTTTTTTTAATAGGGCAATGCTCTATAATGATGGTCATCACACTTTATTTACTTACAACTCAATATTACAACTCGATACTAGGACAAAGATATGACTCCATATGAATGCCTCTGGCAGTGTACCGAGATGTGCAATGATCTAGCGTAGCAATGCCATCAAAAAAACGGACAAGCCATGAAAACATCATGCTAGCTATCTTATGATCATGCAAGGCAATATGACAATGAATGCTCAGGTCATGTATATGATGATGATGGAAGTTGCATGGCAATATATCTCAGAATGGCTATGGAAATGCCATGATAAGTAGGTATGGTGGCTGTTTTGAGGAACATATAAAGAGGCTTATGTGTGATAGAGCGTATCATATCACGGGGTTTGGATGCACCGGCGAAGTTTGCACCAACTCTCGAGGTGAGAAAGGGCAATGCACAGTACCGAAGAGGCTAGCAATGATGGAAGGGTGAGAGTGCGTATAATCCATGGACAGAACATTAATCATAAAGAACTCACATATTTATTGCAAAAATCTATTAGTCATTGGAACAAAGTACTACGCGCATGCTCCTAGGGGAATGGATTGGTAGGAAAAGACCATCGCTCGTCCCAGACCGCCACTCATAAGGAAGACAATCAATAAATACCTCATGCTCCAACTTTGTTACACAACGGTTCACCATACGTGCATGCTACGGCAATCACAAACTTCAACACAAGTATCTCTACAATCCACAATTACCCACTAGCATGACTCTAATATCACCATCTTTATATCGCAAAACTATTGATAGGAATCAAACATATCATATTCAGTGATCTACAAGTTTATGTAGGATTTTATGACTAACCATGTGAATGACCAATTCCTATCATCTCTCTAAATAGATATAAGTGAAGCAAGAGAGTTTAAATCTTTCTATAAAAGATATGCCCATGCTCTAACAAATATAAATGAAGCAAAAGAGCATTCTACAAATGGCGGTTTTCTATGTGAAGAGAAACACACAATCCAAACTTCAAATGATATAAGTGAAGCACATGAAGCATTCTATAAGGCCATACTCAAAAGATTTAAGTGAAGTGCAATGAGCATTCTATAAATCAACCAAGGACTATCTCATACCAGCATGGGGCATAAAAGAAAAATGAAAACTAAATGCAAAAGACGCTCCAAGATTTGCACATATCGCATGAACGAAACGAATCCGAAAACATACCGATACTTGTTGAAGAAAGAGGGGATGCCTTACGGGGCATCCCCAAGCTTAGACGTTTGAGTCTCCTTGAATATTTACTTGGGGTGCCTTGGGCATCCCCAAGCTTGAGCTCTTGCCTCTCTTCCTTTTCCTCATATCGAGACCTCCTCGATCAAACACTGCATCTACACAAAACTTCAACAGAAAACTCGATAAGATCCGTTAGTATAATAAAGCAAATCACTACTCTAAGTACTGTTGCAAACCAATTCATATTTTGTTTTTTCATCATTTCTACTTTAATATAACTTTTTCATGGCTTAATCCACTGATAGAAATTGATAGTTTCATCAAAACAAGTAAACTATGCATCAAAAAGAGAATCTGTCAAAAACAGAACAGTCTGTAGCAATCTGAACATTCACCATACTTCTGGTACCCCACAAATTCTACCAAACTTAGGAAAACTAAACAATTTGTACAGAAAGACAGTTCAAAAGGAATTGGAACCAATTGATGTTCCAGTAAAAAATGTAAAATCACGCACTACAACCAAAGTTTCTGTCCTCCACCGTACAAACCAACAAGCATTGTAAACATCCTAAAGGCAAACGTTGGCACATTATTTTTATAATACAACTGAATTGTACAAGAGGATAATTATTTTTGTTGAAAAGTTTCTGTAATTAAGATTCACAAAGTTTCCGTGAGCATGAACACAGGTCAAGGCTAGCTCCCACTTTAACAATGCTCGTCTTTCTCATTTTCACTTTTCTTTTTGAAAAGTTTTGGGTTCCCCTCTTTATTTTTTTGTTTTTTAAACTATATGAAAGCACTCAATAGAAATAAATGACTCTCTAAAACTTCTGGGTGGTCTCCCTGGCAGCGCTTTCTTTAAAGCCATTAAGCTAGGCATATAGTGCTCAAGTAATGGATCCACCCGGATCCCAAGGTATATCAATTCCAATTTTAATTAACAATGATTTGTGATTTAGTAGTGAGCACAAAGTAACATATATCAAGCAACAATGAAGTCTAACTTTCTTCCTATGCATATACATGTCATAAAAGAACAATTCATGCACACCAAGTAAAGGCCAATGCATAGTATAAGCAGTTTCTTGCAATTTTACACTACTAGGGAAAACCTTATACACAGAATATTAGCAGCAGCGCGGCTCAAAAAGAGGCGCTACTGCTACTTAACAGTAGTGATCTTGAGAAAAGCGTGCTGCTGATGAAAATTTAGCAGTAGCGCTTGATGGATAAACCGCGCTGCTACAAAAATGTACCGACAGAACCCAACAACCTCAGTTTACCAGCAGCGCGGTGGCACGATGCGCGCTACCGCTAAAGCAATAGTAGTAGCGCACTTTTTTGTGATGTCGCTGCTGCTAATTTTGAAATTGTCCTCACGGTTGGCCCGTTTAGCAGCAGCGCTTGTTTCTAAAGCGCGCTGCTGCTAAACCCTTAGCAGTAGCGCTCTTTTCCGCCCGCGCTACTGCTAAGGCACAGCACCCCACCACCTTTTCCCCACCCGTCCTCCCCTCCCCCATCTCCTCTCCTCCCTTTCCCCTACCTCCCACATCCTCCCTCTCTCACTCTTCTTCTTCCTCAAGACTTCTCCCCTATTACTCTCCCTCTTCTACCTACTTTTCTCTCTCTTCATTACTTCTAGCTAACTACACCACCTCCATTAATGCATCTCCTTTATCTTTTTCCTTCCCTCCACTAGTTGAAGTTGTCTCCTCCCAAATTAGCTAGCTAGGTAGACGTAGCATTTATTTAAGTGACCTATTTGCCCCCTAACTAGATCTATCTTTGTCAAGAAGAGATTTGTGCACTTTTGATCTCCCTACATCATCATCTCCACCGTGTGCTCGATCTCGAGATAGAGGTGATTAAAATTTCATGCTTTTGCAAAATGGAAATATGTGTATGTGTGTGTGATATGATAATTGGGCAATATTATGGAAATTGTGTGTGTGGCATGAGTTGACGCCAAATTGTGCTTTTGAGTTACCTATGTTTTGCCGAAATGTCGATTTATTTCCGTTTCGGTGAATTCCGGGCAAACTCTAGATCTATATATGTCCTATTTTTATGGAAGGTCATGCCAAATTTTTGTATGACTTTGATGCATGCACGCATTTTTATAATCAATTTGTTTTTTATTACCGTGCAGACGTTCATGATGGTCAGTGGAACGATGGTGGACAGGTGGTTGCGGTCGGTGGTGCAAGATATGAAAGAAAATAACCGGACAGAGGTTTTATGTCCGTGTCAAAAATGCAAAGGAATAGTTTGGCTCGACCCCTATGACGATGGTCGAGTCGAAGTGCACCTGCTCATGACTAGTTTCATGGATGGCTATACTCAATGAATAATTGAAGATGAGGATGACGATGTTGAGGACGCCGACAGGGCAGGCAATGATGACACGGGGCGAGACGAAGAGATGATCAATAATGGCGGCAGGAAAGAGGCTGGACATGGCGGTGGAGAAGGGGCCGGACATGGTGGAGGAGAAGGGGCCGGACATGGCGGCGGAGAGAACGACGTGGACTCCACGCAGCAGAGTTCGTCGGTACTAAGTTCAATCGTGCGGGACCCTCAGGTTCAAGCATTGTTTCGCAAGGAGACGAGTACTGAGAAAGATGCTTCTAGAGAGGAGGCTTAGCTGGAGCAACTTGTGGTAGACTTGAACACTCCATTGTATGATGGTTGCAATCTTGAGGTGACCCGCTTGAGTTTCACGCTCCAACTCCTGAAGACGAAGGCTAAAAACAAATGTGCCGACACTAGCCTCGATGAGCATCTCAAGTACCTAAAGGATGTTCTTCCCGCGGGGAATCTATGTCCTACTAGTGTTGATGAGGCCAAGAAGATCGTGTGCCTCTTGATCTGCCACACGTTAGATACCATGCATGCATCAACGATTGCATAATTTATCGGAAGGAGCACACGGAAAAGACTAGCTGTCTAGTGAGCAATGCTTCTTGATACAAGAAGGCCGGGAAGAAATGTCCCCAGAAAGTTGTATGGTACTTACCGATCACTCCCCGTCTCTAGCGGTGTTTTGTAGATCCCAAGGAAGCAAAGCTAATGCGCTGGCACGCGGAGAGGAAGAAGCCCGACGATGGAGATGATCCGAAGCTGAGACACGTCAAGGATGGAAGCCAGTGGAGAGCGTTGAACAACTTCTATCGATATTTCGAATGTGATGCAAGGAAAATCGTGCTCGGCGCATGTACCGATGGCATGAATCTGTTTGGAAACGAGAACACCAACCATAGCACATGGCCCATGTTTGTATGGATATACAACCTCCCCCTGGTTGTGCATGAAGTCGAAGTACATTCACATGAGCATGCTTATTCAAGAGCCGAAACAACCAGAAAATAATATTAATTTGTATCTGGGGCTACTTCAAGAGGAGTTAGACACGTTATGGAAAACACCAGCCAAGACATGGGACGCCAGCAAAGGTGAGTATTTCTACATGAGAGCCGCACTGATCACGACGGTGCATGACTATCTCGGTTACGGATATGTCGCAGGCCAGGTGTGCCATGGATATTGTGGATGCACGCGGTGCATGGATGATACGATGTCTCAGCAGCTAACGTCAAGGAAAGATGGCGGGTCTGGAAAAATCGTGTACATGAGGCATCGAAGATGGCTCGAACAGGACAACCTATGTAGAAACCGTGGAGATATATTCAATGGTCACGCTGAGCATCGAGGTCCTCCATGTAAGCGGAGCGGTGCCAAATCGATGAGCTGTTGAAAAACTGGAAGGAGTGCCCCACGCCGGGAAAGACGATGAGAAAGGCGCCGGAGCCGCTACTGAAGGTATGGAAGAGGTCTGTGTTCTGGGACTTGGAGTACTGGCACAAACTCGATACACCTCATTGCATTGATCAAATGCATATCTGTAAGAATGTCCTTAAGAGCTTGCTCGCAACACTGATGAGCATGCCGGATAAGACCAAGGATGGGCCGAAGGCAAGAAAAGACTTGCAAGATTTGAAAATCAGGGAAGATCTGCACATGCCGCCCCGTAAAATGTCAGACGTGACAGAGACGGAGACAGGGGCACAGGAGAAGAAGGGCAAGAAAATAAAGAAAGAGGATTATTACTCCCTTCTTGCTTCACCTTAAGTCAGGCTGAGATTGATCATTCTTTAAGTGCCTTACCGGAGTCAAAGTTAGTTCCGTTTACTGTGGCAAGATAAGCATATATCTAGACACGGACAAGAAAAGGTTCAGCGGGATGAAGTCCCATGACTGTCATATGATGATGACGCAAATACTACATGTTGCCCTTAGAGGGATAGTGGACAAGCACGTCCGTGACACGCTTATTGGTCTCTGCAACTTTTTCGATGTCATCTCTCAAAAGTCGATCAGTGTGAAGCAGCTCCGAAGGCTACAGGAAGAGATCGTTGTGATACTAAATGAGCTTGAGATGTACTTCCCGCCCGTGTTCTTTGACGTGATGGTGCATCTGTGTGTCCATATTGTGGATGACATAATAGACCTGGGGCCGTCATTTTTGCACAACATGATGCCGTTTGAGAGGATGAATGGGATCATCAAAGGATTCGTTCGTAACATGTCCCGTCCAGATGGAAACATCATCCAGGGCTATCTGACACAAGAGTGCATCTCTTTCTGCGAGAATTTACTATATGGCGCATACCTGTAGCTGCCTGGTGTTAGTGTTGGTTTGCCCGTTAAAAAGCACGATGAGAGGCTCGAAGGAGAAGGTCACTCCAATGGTCTCAGGGAACTGCACGTGGCATACTCAGATCGACGCAGCGACTTTGACAGAGCAAACTTGGTAGTGCTACAACACCTAGACGAGGTAGATCCTTTCATGGCACCGCGCAAAGAAATTATATACTCCCTCCGTCCCAAATTACTTGTCGAAGGAATTGATGTATCTAGACGTATTTTAATTCTAGATACATCCATTTTTATCCATTTATGCGACAAGTAAACCGGACGGAGGGAGTACTTTGCTAGAGTTCACTTGAGCACATAAATAATAAGCCAATTATTTTTTTTCTAGGCTGTAATGAGTACTCCCTCCGTCCGGAAATACTCGTCGGAGAAATGCATAAAAATGGATGTATCTAGAACTAAAATACGTCTACATATATTCATTCCTCCGACAAGTATTTCAGGACAGAGGGAGTAATAAATTAATGACATTTTAGACAAGTCGAGTAAGTTGATCAACTCATAGTACAGAACTTTCATTTTGCTAGGATAATGAACAACTTTTGCTACAAGATATACAGGCAGAATTTCCACTTTGATGCATGAGTTTTTAATAAGTCAATCATGAACATACTATGGGTTAAAATGGACTTGAGGTCTTTTGTTTTATTTTGCCATGCTGTGATATACCATATATCATATAAGGTGACTGACCTCATTATTTTTAGCCTGTAGAACAGAAACATGACTCCTTTTCTCCTCCAGCATTTTAACAATTCCTTGCAGCTGCTTTTGTAGATCAATTGACTCGTCGTGCTTTGAGATAATTAGCCTTTTAGTTTCATTGGCAAGAGCATTGAGCGCGGGCTTCAGGGTGGTTTTGTAGGTGGTACCAAGGATCTCAGCCGGGGAGGATCCTTTTGCATTTACCTCGTACTGGAAATCAATACTGGGTTTCAACCTGCAAAATGGTACAGTGATGTTTGACAGTAAGGCAACAAGCTCTACTGCTCTACATATAAATTGACGAAAGAGAAGTCAAAGAATAAACAACATATAGGGAACCATAATAAAATGATATCTTTTCTGAGATCTTGATCTTCGTTTGCTTCAGTCTGCCACTAACTGAGCACTGAGGGGCAATACTTAAGAATACTGTGTTACACAGAATCTATCTCGGCGATGTTTTTCTTTATTACAAAATGTTGGCATGGCCTTCATTTTTTATATTTCTCAATTATGAAGAATATTATGATGTGAAACATATTAGAAGCTTTTTGTGAAGACTTATGTATCATAGCCATAACCAATTAACATATAGACATGCGATATATAATATTGTTGCAATAGAGGAGCAATGTGCATTAATTCTAACTAAGTCTGCCTAAATATTGTGTTCATCACCCAAAAGAAAGATTTAAAAAATACCGATAAAACACACATATAGCTTTATAGCCCTGCTGGAAATGCTTTCATATGAAGTCATCGATTTGCAACATGATACCATGTTCAACAGCAAAACTTAAGAAAAGGAATGATGAGAAACAGAGGGGAAGGAATTACACAGAGAGTTAAGCTACATAAACAAATGAGAAGAGGGAATGGGAGGTAAAGTAAATCAAGGGCAAAAACATACGATGTCCTACAACTTCCCTGAACTTCCTGATGTGTAACACTGCAACATTTGAACCGTCTCTATTAGCTAATGTTAACTACTGGGGGACTGCCTTGTGCACGCCCTTATTCAGTGTCTCAATCAGAATTCTATGTATGCACAGATACAAGCGGCTGACAATATTAACTATTTTTGATGAACAGAAAGCAGTTTCCTTGTTTTAACTTGACATCTCAATCATAGTCCATAAAAGATGCCTTCTCCTAACATATATAATTGAACACATAGCACACTAGCAGAGTTACTCCAAACCGTTAAGAAAACAAGCAACAATACAAGTTAAGACATCAGGAAAGGTAAAAGGTAACCTAAAAGACAAAAGACTGATTGCACAATCAAGAGAGTACTATCGCAAGCTAAAGCACAATCTTGTAAACTGAGTGACCAAAACTCCTATACAAAGCAAAAGATTATCAAAATAATCCTCTGACATTGAGAGATTGAAGTGCTGACTGCTGAGGCAAGACCAAAACTAATTGATTCACCGAAAGAACTACTATTTGAACTCTGGAGGGTAAGAAGAACAAACATATTGAGCTATGGAGCACCATGTCAGCATTGGAATAGATAGATGTTTGTTTAAGTACTTCATTTCTACTCCCTCCGTCCAGAAATACTTGTCATCAAAATGGATAACAAGGGATGTATCTATAACTAAAATATGTCTAGATATATCCCCTTTTATTCATTTTGATGACAAGTATTTCTGGACAGAGGGAGTACATATCAAATAAGAGAGGCATGGTTACTTCATCAGTTTTAAGGTGCTTAAATAACAAGTTAATCATTGGTGAAAGAATAACAAACATGGAGAAAAAAAATCAAAAATCAGGAGATTCAAAGTTCTTTGGGGGAGTTCATACTTCCTGAGGGACTGGTTGCACAGCTCCGCAAGGCCCTCGATCTCCTCGAGTTTACTGACCAGTGCAGCTTCGAGTTCCCACCCCTTCTCCTCCAGCACGGCATTCGCATTCTCCAGCTTTGCAATATCATTCTCCACAGCTTGCATCTCCCTAGCCATCCTATCGACATCCCTCACATTGACCACCTGCGTCTCGACCTGTTTCACCAGCTCCCCATTCTCGGCCATGGTCTGCTGGCAATTCATCACCTTGGCCTCCAGCTCCTTCTCCACCTCCACCAATGCCTCTTCCTTCTCCTTGATCTTGGTGGACCAGCTCTTCACCACGGCCTCGAACTTCTGAACGTCTGCAGTAAATGCATCCTTCTTATCCTCCAGCGCCTTGAGGCGAGAGGGCGCCGACATTTGCTTGCTCCGCTTGGCCTCGAGATCCTGAAGCTCCTTCTCCAGCTCCTGGATGGCCGCTACCCACTCACCGATTTGGGTGCGGGCCTTGGTGTGGTACTCGTCGTCGAGGGAGGCGACGGCGTCATCCTCGCCGGTGAGGAACAGGTGGTAGCTCTCGGTGATGTAGGTCATGAGGTCATTGGAGGCGGAGGCGGGAGGGGAGGCGTCGAGGCCGTCGGTGAAGCGGCAGAGAAGGGTGAGCCAGTAGAGGACGGAGAGGAGCGGCGGCCAGGAGTGCGGGGTGCCGGGGGCCTTGAGGGCGGATCTGGTGAGCTTGTAGGGGCAGCAGAGGGAGCGGAGGAGCGCGAGGAGGTCGTCCTCCCAGGCGGCGGGCTTGAGGGGGTAGCGGAGGCGGTCGGCGAGGTGGTGGAAGGCGGCGACGATGTCCTTGGCGGGCGGGAGGGACGGGCGGAGGTGGATGGCGGCGGGCGCGAGGTAGGTGTTGACGGCGCGGAGGGCGGCGACCTGCGAGCCGCGGTCGGAGAGGCTGGTGATGGGGCCCCCGGCGTGGGAGGCCGCCTGAGCCGTGCCGATGGAGGAGGGGCGGCTGCTGCAGATGCTGTAGGCGTCGGAGTCGCGGCGGGAGAAGGCGTGGTCGAGGTTCCTCTGGATGCTGAAGGCGTCCGACATCGGGGTGCGGTCTACCGCCGCCGAGGAGGGGGGCGCCTTCGGGTGCCGCCCGCCGCCGCCGCCACCGCCGCGCCCGCGCCCGCGCCGCATTTCCGTCGCCGGAGTTGGGGTTGGGGTTTGCTCTGGAAAATTGCGGGGTTCCGATTTGATTTTGGGAGAGCGAGCTGGGGTTTCGGTGGAGAAGAGAAAATGGAGCGCCTTGCCTGGGCTGGGCTGGGCTTTTGCGTGGGCCACGCGGCCTGCGACGGAAGCCAGGCTGCTGGGCGAGCCTGCTAGGCCCGGGCGGGGAGCCCAGGTCGGACTGAGACTTCGACTCGGCTTTGGGCCCAACAGGATATATACATACATTGGACGGGCTGCTCCCTTGCGCACGCAATTCGATCCCCGTCAACGGAAAGCAGAGTCGAATCGGCGGAGTCGCACGTCGTCAGCCGTCCGCCATGGACGACGCCGACGACTACCTCGCGGTGCTGCAGGCGATGACCCGACTGCACCTGGATTTCCCAGGAGACAGCAGCGAAGGGGTTACAACTCATCGGGACGACGCCGATGCCCCGGCGCAGCCCGCTGCCGCGGAGACCGGCCATGTAAAGCAGCCGGCGGGTGAGTGGGCGGAGGTCCTGGTGAGCGAGATGGCGAGCGCCACCTCCATGGACGACGCCCGGTGCCGTGCCGCCAGGATCCTCGAGGCATTCGGAGGCGCCGTATGCGCTCGCGCCGCGCGGGTAGTCCGCGATAAGGACCGCGAGCTGGAGAACGTCCGGCGGCAGAACACCATCCTGAAGAAGGCGGTGGTGATCCAGCACCGGCAGCACAATGAGAACGAGGAGAAGGGCAGGGAGCTCCAGGTGCAGGTCGCCCAGTACCGGGAGCAGGTCAGGCGGCTCGAGGCGGATAATTATGGGCTGTCCATGCACCTCAGGAACGCCGGCCGCGGGGCCTCCATGCCGGGGAACTTCCACCCAGAAGTTTTCTGATCAAACGAAGACGGATGGTGATTCTGTGGGAATCTGTCTAATCGACTGTTATTAGCGGGTTGATTTCCATAGCATGATGATAGATTGATAGCCCATCCTCTATTTGTTTATTTTGCTATGTCCCATCCTCTATTCAAGGTCTGGATATTTTTGTCTTCCAAAATAAGTGTTGAAGTTTTGAACTAGGGTTGGTTCAAAAATCAAAACGGTGACACTTATTATGGATCGGACTTGGCATTTAACATTGATAATTGGACATTTTTTTTATCACTGATAATAGCATGTTTTGTCTGTCTATTCTATTTATATATTTATTCATCTCGCCAAAGTATCTTTTTTGCCTTAATACCTAAGATACTTGCCACCGACTAGCACTCTCGCGGGATGATAATGCACAAATGTTTAGCGGAAGTGATTGTTGGCAGCTTGAATTTACCGTTGAAGACTCCCGCGTTGCGCTAGTTCCAATTTCTCAATGCCACAAGCATAAGAGAGGGCATCGTCTTGCACCTTTCATGGTCATTATGCACCAAAAGAGTCGGCCACGGCTTTGACGTTTGTTGGAAACTTGCCAATATTACAGGTCAAGCCCCGGGACCGCAAACCAATCCTTGGCCAAATTACAAATCCTAAGGGAGTAGCGGCATTGGAAGAGCGAGTGTGCCCTCGTTTCATGAGCCCCCTTACAAAAGGGTCAAAACCCCACAATTTGGCCGCCCTCATTTCTCAAGGTGGTCCGCCATCCAAATCCGTTTTGTTAATGATTAGCCAAGCAAAGAAACGGTGCTCTTGAGGTTGGTGGTGTTGTCTCACCTGAATTGTGGCTTATATGCGGAAGTCGTCGAGTATTGGCCGATAGAATTCATCCTACAAACAATGAAGTCTTAATGCCCCTCACATGGTAGAGTTTGTGAAAGTGATCTTGCAAATACTGAGGAACTCCTGGATGTGCTGAGTTGTGAGCCCATTGGCGACGTTTGCGTCCAACCCAACATTATTGTGAAGAGACCTTTTAATGCACTATTTTTTTTCTTTGAGATGGCAAAAATAGATTGCTCCAAGTCTTTCGGCCTACGACCATTAGCCTAAGTGGAGTTCTAGAAGCTAGCATTGTTGTCGTCTTCGATGGTAATGGTGGTGAGGGCATAAAAGAATAAAAGATGTCCATATCATTGTCGTTGAATGGATTTCCCGCGCCCAACCAAGTTCTATTTGGGAATGTCTATTCATGCCATGACCACCGAAGTCTAGGGCGTGTCAAGTTGTGAGTCCATCGGTGATGTTTATTTTGGTCCACCCAAACATTATTGTGAAGAGCCTTTAATCTGCCCATTTTTCTTCTTCCTAAATTCTAATTAGTGCAGCTGTGCTAATTTGCCTTCGCGAGCACACACCATTACACGCCGTCCGATCGTGTCAGGTGTCTCTCGGTCGGGAGAGGAGCGAATAGCGACGGGCCTTGGCAAAACGAGAACAACCCAAGCGGTAGAAGGGGCCCACTCAGAGGGATAACGCCCCCTCGCACTCACCTGGTCCACGCATTCTGTGGGGCGGCGGGCCAGTTTTCCCCCAAATCCACCACCGTCGCTCTCGGGAATCGCCGGAATAGTGGAAGGCGAAGGGAGAAGGGGAGAAGGGGGGAGGGGAGAAAGAGAGCGACCCCCTGCGACTGCCAAAATGACGACGGGATGAGGGCCGGCTCGCCATACGCGCGCGGCAACCAGCAAGCGGAGGAGGGAGGAGACAGGTGTCGGAGTCCCGGTGACCAGCAAGCGAAGAGCCGAGGGGACAGCGTCGTCTGTGCGCCGCGACCACCTAGCGGGGAGGAGCTAGATCGGGGAAGGTGCCGTCGCCAGGTGGTCGAGGAATCGGGCAGCAAAGTGCCGGTGAGTATCATGCGTTGTTCTACTCAAATCTAGGATTGTATGCGAGAGAGGCGGGGTAGGAGGTTGAAGACGGCTTGTGGGGTTCCAGGTCTTTGGGCGAACCAATGATTTTTGAGCTGGGGTTGATTTACTGCGCGGGATGCAGGGCTGGAATTAGGGATGTAGATGCAAGGGCGTCCAACAATCCCGTATATGCCTCCGTTGAAAAATTATCACGGCGAGCCGCTGAATTAAGTGGCTGAAGAGCACAACACCATACCGAGCAGCGCCAGAACACTTTACATGTCGTCGTGGCTCTTGGCTGGCCGAACGGAAGACGACGAGCAGCTAGTGCACCAGGATGTCCTCAACACCAATCTGGCAGGGTCAGCGAAGCTGCCAGAGGCTAGTTGCACGTTACATGGCACCATAGCGTCACTCGTCATGACATCACCAAGGCATTTAGAATCAGAATGCATGTGTTGATGCGTTAAGGAATCTTGCTAGTGTCGATTTTTTGGATCTTGCTTGTGAACGTTAGCATGTAGCACCAGCCAGAGTTTAGTTTGAATTTTTTTACTTGAAATTAACATGACATTGATAGACTAGAGTTGTCACATCTTGAATGGGGAATGGTGTGCTCGCTTGTTTCAGTGGATCTCATTGGTTAGTTACATGGCGTTCTTCTTTGTTGTCTCTGTTCTAGTAATAAGAACTACAGCGTAACAGAATAGTTGTGAGCTTGCGGCCGTGCAAGGATGACAAGAGGGTGCAACAGGTTAGGCGTGAGAGACCATGGAGCAGCACCACTTAATTGTGAGACGCCTTAAGTGGCTGCGGCAAAACCCATTTAGGGAACGTTTGGATCTCAGGCAAGCGCTCGCCTAGCCTGGCCCAGCAAGGAAGCGGGGCATTTGGTTTCTGGGCGAGCACGCCTCGTTACCAGCGGTTTCCAGCTTTTTTCGCGTTTCATCGAGCGAGCCGATTCGGCTCGCCTCCGTCGGCAAGGCTGGCCCTGCCTAGCGAGGCAATCAGGCGAGGGATCCAAACGTTCCCTTAATTAGCATGCAGCCGAAGCGGCCAGTACCACATTGTCTGGCGGACGCGCCACTTACATCCTAAGCTACAATTTTGGATGATTCGAGCAGAAAGTGTTAAAAACATGCTCAACACAAATAGTTAGTTGCTAGAGATGATGCCATGAGTTGCCCAAAGATCCGCTCTTGAGAGTGTTGGATATTATTTCGTCGAAGACTTGCCCAACGCATAATAGTTAGTTGCTAGAGATGCCGGTGTAAGTTGTCCAGAGATATTTATTACACAACAAATTGACTTAAAAGACTTTTTAAGAGGATTCTAACAGGAACTTCATTTGTGTGGGTGTGCACTTAATGAGAACGGTTGCCAGCTAGCTATGTCTAGATGGTAATAAAAAACCCAAATCCCAAGCGAACTTTTTACTGTCTCGGGCGCACACCCTTCGTGACTGTGGGATCTAAATCATATGATCTCTAGGTGTTCCACGGTCGGGGCACGGGTGTGGTTTGCGAGTCGTCGGACCAGGTGCGATGATATTTGCCTCGCCGGCCGCAGGGGCCTACCACAACACCCACGTCCTCTCTCCACTCCACCCGCGCACACATTTGGAAATCAAAGGAGAGTGGTTGTTCCGTGGCATTTTTGCTCGCTGCTCAAACACGCCGCCACCTCCCCCTCATCCAAATCCACCACCACAATCCCCTCGTCGCCTCGCCCAAATCCACCACCGCTTTGTCATTTTGAGGCACGCTCCACCGGAGGTCCACCGTAGATTGGGAAGGGGGAGAGAAACAACCCGATCCGTGCCCCTACACAAAGAGGGTAGAGGGGCCAGAGCTCCATCCGCGCGCGGTGACCACCAGGCAGAGGCAGAAGGGAGGCGTCTGAGGGCGCCGCTTCTCTGTGCTGTGTCCACAAAGCGAGGGCTCGAACGGGAAGGACACTGCGCGTCTGTGCATCGCGACCTCTAGCGGCGGAGAGCGAGAGCCAGAAGCGCCATCATTAGGGGTTGGGGAATCATGCCTCAAATCGTCGGTAAGCATGTGGTCGCAGCTATGTGGACGGTGGCGAGGCTCACGAGGTGCAGCATCTAACAATAGATCTTCCCTGCTCATCGTTTTGTACAATGGAGCATGATGGATTTTTTGTCAAAGACATGAGTACGAGTTGCTCGGATTTGTGTCGCGAGAAGCACCATCATTAGGGGTTG